GTGAATCAATTGGTCATTAAAAAAATCTGTCTTCCCCCACGGGCTTTGCTTGTCAGAAGGACAGGGCAACCATCATAAATACACGCCGGCAGCCAAGCATCCGAATTTTGATCACATGACCATGAAGATGCTGAAATGGTTGTAAGTTCGCCTGATCCGGAGAGAACCGGCTGAATCCTACCACTGGTTGTAAGTTGAGGACTACCTGCATTTCCAGTTTTGGACAAAACTTTACCCATAATGAACAATTACAAGCGCTTAAAAACTGCTTGTTATAGTCATTAAGTGAGCTCTTAATAAATGCTTAATGACTATACTGTTCGCTTAATAACTGCCATAAAAAGGTTGTAAAATCAGGATGGTCAGGTGCGTGACCCATTTTACGAGTGTCGCAACTTACGACTGTAATGGGCAGCTCTATTACAGTCATAAGTTGAAGAGCTACCTGTACTGTATATGAAAGGACTTGGTGGGAATAATACTTCCCAACATATCATAGAATTAAGGGTCATCATAAAACAGACGTAAAGGACATCTGTCTTTCCTTACCTTTAGCTGCCAACCTGTTGTAGGAAAAGGGCCTCAGGTGGAAACATACTGGCCGTAACTCTCAAAGATCTCCTTCTATCTTTTCATGGTCAAATATTTGGGAGGGACCCAATCACCCAGTTTTTCCTCTGGGACAATGTAGAGCCTTCTGCCCCTCAGTCAATCATAAATATTTCCAACCCTCTGAGCCCAAGTTAATTTAAATACCCTGCAGAATGTGACCTAAAAGAACTGTTCCAAATGAATACAAGGAGAGTAGTAAATACATTTCAATAATTATTTCTATTTAATGGTTAGAAGTAGAAGGTGACCAAGCTGAGCCTGAAGGAGGGGTCAAATGCATCATCATCTCTTGGCACACACAAGAGATTTAAGCCCAGCCCACCTTGAATTCCTTTGTCTCTTTTCAACCGCCAATTTGCTTTGACTGTTAGTAGTTCAGATTCTTGTACAGAGCTTAAGCGTGCCATAAACTTTTACATTCATTTGAACTGCCTGGACTCCTCATTTCCCATACTTGACATTAGCGATCTACAAAACTCGTCCATCCATCCATCCATCCGTATATTATAATCTACCTTTCCATCAGTGTTTGCAAATCAGTTGGTAATGCTTATTCCAAAACTATACATACATAATTATACTGAAGTAAAAATAGATTCAGTTTAGAAAAACCGATTCTGCATTCCAGAGAATATCATGACCATAAATGATATTTTTGCCAGACTGTAGCATGTCAAAGATATATACAGTATCCACAAATTGTCTCGGGTTTGCAGCAGGGGTGAAATCCAGCAGGTTCTAACAGGTTCTGGAGAACTGGTAGCGGAAATTTTGAGTAGTTCAGAGAACCGGCAAATACCACCTCTGGCTGGCCCCAGAATGGGGTGGGAATTGAGATTTTGCAATATCCTTCCCCTGCCACACCCACCAAGCCATGCCCACAGAACCAGTAGGGACAAATTTCGAATTTCACCCTTGGTTTGCAGTGAAGTGGCATTTCCTTAATCATATTGACAAATTAGGAAGTTTGTAGGATTCCGGAGTTGGCTGGAAATACTTGAGTGGCCAGTAGGTGGCAGTGAAGAAGTATGAAAAAAATCAAACTCTTTGCTGCCATCAAATGATTGTCTCCAGTTTTGCAACTCTGGTTTGAATTAACCACAACTCAAACATGCCTTGGTAAAGTTTTCCTCCCTGAATCTTCTTCACAATATTATTTTTATTCCATCCATAGCCAATAAATAAATGAAGTTTATGTGACAACAGGTGACAGTCAAAGATAAGGAGTCATGTTTGGGGCTTGGGCAACATATCTTATGGTAAGAGGACTGTTCTAGAAAGCAGAGAAGAGGTCTTTGAGTCCTCAGACCCTGAATGAAGTATTTTCTACTATGTTTGTCAGTTACGAAAGGAACAATTCTTTTACAAAGATGCCTCAGAACTGTAACTGTAACTATGCCATTTTAATATAAAGTTAATATTTGGCATGAAGAATCAAGAAAGACACATGGAGTTACTTCTAAGTAGCTTCTTTTATTATTCCTCACCTACAGAGAGAAATCCAAAGTAAAGCTAAACTAAACTATAGTTACCAAACTAAAGCAACTATTTGTATCAATCATGATATATTCTGAGAATTACTAAGGAGGAGCCGTCTTAATTCTCTTCCTCCCAACTAACCTATCTTAACTTCGCCGTCTCTTGTCCTCTGGAATGCAGCCCCTCCCTTCTGGGAATTCAGGCTACGTTCCACCACAATGGTTACTTTTTGCAATAGTCTCCATCCTTATAGTTCCATAGCTTCAACGTTGGTTACACGTCCCTTGAGTCTCACCAAAAAGAAGATAGAGACTCCAACCTTTTCTTTAAACAGCCAGTTAGTCTATCAATAACATTGATTGGTCATACAAATAAACAAAAGCTACATAACATCATAACAAAACCATGCCTCTATAAAGCAATAATAAAGACAGTCATAGTAAAATAAAGACAGTCATAGTAGAATCAAGATCACGTGAAGTGTTAATACCACTTTATAATGCCTTGGTAAGGGCACACTTGGAATATTGCATTCAGTTTTGGTTGCCACGATGTAAAAAAGATGTTGAGACTCTAGAAAGAGTGCAGAGAAGAGCAACTAAGATGGTTAGGGGACTGGAGGCTAAAACATATGAAGAACGGTTGCAGGAACTGGGTATGTCTAGTTTAATTAGAAGAAGGACTAGGGGAGACATGATAGCAGTCTTCCAATATCTCAGGGGTTGCCCCAAAGAAGAGGCAGTCAAACTATTCTTCAAAGCACCTGAGGGTAGAACAAGAAGCAATGGGTGGAAACTAATCAAGGAGAGAAACAATTTAGAACTAAGGAGAAATTTCCTGACGGTGAGAACAATTAATAAGTGGAACAACTTGCCTCCAGAAGTTGTGAATGGTCCAATACTGGGAGTTTTTAAGAAGATGTTGGATAACCATTTGTCTGAAGTGGTGTAGGGTTTCCTGCCTGGGCAGGGGGTTGGACTAGAAGACCTCCAAGGTCCCTTCCAACTCTGTTATTCTATTCTATTCTATTCTATTCTATTCTATTCTATTCTATTCTAAAAAAAGGAAAAATAACAAAAGAGGTTGATGAAGAATCTGGGCCATTGGAAACTCTTACAGAAAAGTCCTTCTGATGTCCCAGAGCCAGCTATAAAGCAAGCAAGAGATCCTCTACAGGAAGTGAGGTATTTGGGGGCCGTTCCTGAAAAGGCACTGCAAAGCTGGTTTACTTTCAAGGGTGAGTAGCAAACATGGTTTTCAGGAATGATTTGGAAACCCATTGGCAGGGTTTCTATAACACATTCAACCAGCTCAGTTAAAAGTTCCGGTGGCTTCGTTCTTAGAACAAGCTAAGCCTAATTAGTTTTAAACTTGGTTAGGTGTTTTTTTTTTTTTTGGTGGTTTATCATACAAACTCAGCCTGTTTCATTAATTTGTAGCTTCATGTATTGTGTAAACTGAGAAAGTGGGTTAACCAGTAACAGAGGAGCCTGAGTGGCACAGCAGACTAATGCTACTGTAAAAAGTAGTATTTAGCTTCCAGTTGCCTGCAATGACTGAGAGTTCAATTCGCACCAGGCTCAAGGTTGACTCAGCCTTCCATCTTTTCTAAGGTAGGTAAAATGAGGACATGGTTTGTGGGGGCAATAAACTGACTTTGTATAAATATACAAAAGTATGAAGGCTATTGCTTAACGTATTGTAAGTCGCCCTGGGTCTCTGGAGAAGGGCGGCATATAAATCCAAAAAACAAAAACAAAAAACAGTTAAGCATGTTCTGTGACCTCAATCATTTCAGGTCCTATGTATATCATGTGACACCAGAGCTCTGGATGTTCCATTTCTGTTCCTGTTCTCCTTCTCTAGAACTGAATTACAGAATTATACAGGATAAGTATCTTCCCAGGAAGCTTTCTTGTGCCTGCAGAAACATAAAAAAAAAAATACAGGATTTAAAATTGCCTGCCTTCAGGGCAATAGTTAGTGCTAGTCGGTCGTGCTTGACTTACAACTGGTCGCTTAATGACTGCTCAAAGTTACAACAGAGCTACTTATGACCCATTTTTTGAAGTTACAGTGATTGTCCCCTTGCGATCGTATGATTGCAGTTTCCAGGGAAAAAAACCCACCCATTTGGATGACACGCAAATTCGTGAAGCGTTCCATATTTTTAAAAAGAGCCTTGGTGGCGCAGCAGGCTAAAGCACTGTTAAGTAACACCAGCTGCCTGCAATTACTGCAAGTTCAAATCTCACCAGGCTCAAGGTTGACTCAGCCTTCCATCCTTCCGAGGTAGGTAAAATGAGGACCCGGATTATGGGGGCAATAAGATGACTTTGTATAAAAAAAAGAACACCGCTTAGGGGGGGCCGAAAGCCCTACTAAGCAGGTATATACAAAAGTATGAGGGCTATTGCTTAACGCATTGTAAGCCGCCCTGAGTCTCCGGAGAAGGGCGGCATATAAATCGAACCAATACATAAATAAATAAACAATAAATAAATAAATTGAAGGAAACACCCACAACTTCTGGAGGCAAATTGTCCCGCTGATTAATTGTTCTTAACGTGTCATGGATTGTGATTTGTGCAGCGCTTTGATCTACATTTGCTCTGCCAAAGGGGCTCCCCACGTGCTGGGCGGGGAAACGCCACAGTGGCTTTTACAAAACATAAAAAACTAGGATCCCACATGCTCCTTCTGGAATCTGAAGCTCTGCAGTGTGTTAATCTTTGTGTTCCGTTTGTACACAATGGAACACTAATCACGCAAAATGTTTCTAAGCATTCCATGAGTTCACGCCAAAGAAAAGGGAATTCCCAGGGACCTCCTACCTGTTAGGAGTCTTAGGAGAAATTTGTGAGAAGGCATAGATTTTTTTATTTTATTTTTTTTACATCTCACATACC